CAATAGTTATTTCTATTGTTAATAAGTGCTCAGATATGTGAGAAAACATATCACAAATAGATGCAATGGTTCGAGACCTTTTCAGATCACTAAAACACACGAACACATTTTCCGTCGAAGATTTGCGCTGCAGCGCTCAAATGCGCGCTGCAGCGCGCCCGTGCGCTGCAGCGCACCCTGCTGTGCGCTGCAGCGTGCATGCCTAGCAAAACAGACCCGAGGGTCTGTTTTGCGCAGGCTGCAGCGCCCAAACGCGCACTGCAGCGCGCCCGTGCGCTGCAACGCACGCTGCTATGCGCTGCAGCGCGCGTGCCTAGCAAAACAGACCCGAGGGTTTTGCGCAGGTTGCAGCGCCCAAACGCGCTGCAGCGCATCTGTGCGCTGCAGCACGCTCTCTTTCGCGCTGTAGCGCGTGCTTGCGTCAACCTACTCTCCTGAATGTGTTTTAATCCAATTTTGTGATATCAAGATTGAGAGATATATTACAATCTCTCTAACATGTCTAACCCTAAGGAAATAGTGTGTTTTGTCATGCCTAAGTTATTCATTAAGTAACTTTATTAGATTCTACTAGTGGTTCTTTTCATTTTATGTGTAAATGGTAAAGAAATCCTACTACTAACAGGACAAAGTAGTTGAATTGATACACTACGTTAATTTCTGAAATGACCACTTGGTAATTTCTATAATGACCATAATCAATTTTTTGAATAAAAAAATGCTAAGTTATTCACTAAACATATTTTTTTAAAAAAAACTACTGGTGGTTTTTTCATTTGATGTATAATCGGTAAAGAAATCCTACTACTAACATAACAAAATAGTTGAATTGGTACACTACGGTAATTTCTGTAGTGACTATAATCAATTTTCTGAATAAAACCTGACTAAGTTATTCACTAAGCAGCTTTTTTTAGCCACCATAACAGCATATTTGTGCTTCATAGTTCTTTTAAAATAGAATTTAAAAAAGAACAAACAAACAAACAAACAAACAAAACACCAAAACATCAAACATACTCCTACTAAAAGTTTAAAATATCAAAGTGCGAAGATAAATGCGTAACCAACATTAAAAGAAATCCTGAAAATTGTTGACAATCCACGTTTCAATGAATAAGTTAGTAACAAAGTACTCAAACTGATCCGCCGGCAGAGGCTGAAAAAATTAAACGTAAACTAATAAGTCAAGAGCCACCTTTCGCCTTTCTACGTGTCATTTCTGCATTACTAATATCAAATTCCATCAAGAATCTAACATGTATTCTCCTGGCCTTCCGACATCCTACAAAACACACATAACTCACAAATCTAAAATAAGAAATCTTGAAAAAAGAACGTTTGAATTGTGTATCTAAGAGAACTAGTTTGAAAGTGAATTTAGCATTAAAATCATACTAATGACAAAAGAAGTTTAGCATATGATGCTGGTAATCACCATTATGACCACTATTAATTATGATAATTACTATATCAGTCACGGCGATCATTACCACTGGTCATTATCGTAATGACTACCTGGTAAACAAAAATTATTTTTTTTGAAAACATAATGATGCTCACAGAGCAAATCAAACGGATATTCCACATATTATTCAAATTGAAAACAAATTTGACCAATTGGTTCCCTCAAATTCATAACCCAAACATTTCTTTTTAAAGATTTCTTACCATATATGTGGAAAAAAAGTCAAAGTGTTCTTTATTAATACTTATATACGAGGTTGTATCACGCATTAAATGCAAGTCGAGATTAAACGTATATAGGAAATATCTGTAACTTGTTTATATGAGGAGAGTGGGAGAGAGAGCGGAGAAAGAAAGAGAGAGAGAGAGAAAAAAAATGTTGGAGCTCAAATGAAAAAAGAGAAGGAAAATGAGAGAAAAAGATGTGAGTTCAAATAAAGAGAGAAAAATTGAGGAGACATTTACAACTTGTTCAAGTGAGGAGAGACGGGAGAAAGAAAGAGAGAAAATATGAGAGAGAAAATGAAGAGAGAGAAAGAGAGGGAGAGAAATATGAGGGAGTTCGAATGAAGAGAACGAAATTGAAGAGGGAAGTTGAAATCTGACATTAAATTTTACCAGTAATTTTGAAAATTTAACTTTATCGGTTCCTCAATTGCTGATGTGGTAGTGTTAAAAATAAAAGTACAAAAAAGTAGTATTAGTCATAAGATAATTGTTGTAATTGGTGTTATTTGTGTAAATTATAATTTGCTTGCAAAATGGGTTTGCCTTGTGAAAATGAGACTGAGACATTGAGGAGTGGGAACAATAGAGATTATATATAGTATTTTGCACTGAAATGAAATTAAAAAAAATTGAATATCCTCTTATACCATTCAAAATTAACAAAATAATACATTACATTAAATGAAGAAAAACAAATAACAACTAAAATAAAAAGGCAACAAAATTAAAGTAATGACACTAAAATTTCAATGTTAAAACTCATTAAAACCTTCTCCACCAAAAAGAAGTATACTTCTCCGCTTCAATAATTTTCAAAAGCTTCTTTTTGAGATTGAATCAAACTTTTTATTTTCTTTTTGTCTTGAGTTTGTCATACCCGTCAACTTAAATTTTCTAGTGAACATATTTATTCTTAAAACTTAATATGGATATGCATGAAAACTATCAGCACAACATACCAAAAAATAAAATGCCTAATTTAAAATTCAAAAAACAATAAGGGACCTTTTCCGGTACGCCGACATACCGGTAAATTATATTTTCTGTCTGTTAGATCTATATAAAATCATATAAAAGTAAAAAAATATGTAAATTTAACGGTTAAAATACCTGGCTCACTAGTAATGTACCAGAGAATCTCCCAAAGAATAATCAACAAAAAGATAAAAAAAAAATGAGTAAGAGAGGTATAACATAGAAACTTTTAAAAAATATGTTGAGAAAAGAGTAGCAGTATAATATTTAAAAATAAAAAAAAGATCTTAGAGAGAATAGATTGTTGTTGTGAAAATAGAGAAATATTAATGCAAATATAAAAAAAAAGAAATATAATTTTCTAAATAAAAAAGAAAGAGGGCAAATAGATTGACATTATTTTTTTTTTCTTTTTTACACAAAACAAAAGGTTACAATTTATTCAGTTTTTTCCTATACAGGATACTTATTAAACGTAAATCATCTATTTTTCCCTTTTTTTTTTTTTTAAGTTGCCGTTTCTAATTTCAAAAATCTCAATCCCTATTAACTATCTTATATTTGAAGGTACCACTTTATGTGGTGATAAAAAAAATCTAAATAGTATATAAAAAATATGAACTGGTGGGGGCGCTTTTTCCCGACCGATATGATGAAATAATAAAGACCGTTGGATTAAATTTATGGTCTAAAATACTTTGTTCTATAGAAACAAGAATGAACACTACCCCACCTAATCAATTTTTTTATTCACACCATTCAAAAAAACAAAACAAAAAAAACCTTCCTTACCCAACGCAAATTTTGCAGACCCAATCCCTAATTTGCGAACCCATCTTTGATAATTCGCAGACCAGCCACCACCTCCCGGCGTCGCAAGCCAGTTTCACCCCACGGCATCCTGCACCCCGCACACCCAACTTCTCCCCTCTCTCCGACAGAAGCCCTCTCTTCCAACGGCGCCTGCAAGACGGCTTCAACTCGCCTATCCTCCGATTGCAGTCCTCCCCCACGACGGCGCCGGCATAATGGACGACCCACTGATTAAAGGAGGAAGAGTGATTTATATCGGTTGGTTTGATTTTCCGTTGATTGTGGCGCCGGGTTTCCACTTCTTCATCATCTTTTTGCTCGTTCATCAAAGAGACTAAATTCGCTGAAGATCTCGGATCACATGCGTTTATGAATACTCAGACTTCTTCATAAACAGGCTTCTCTCTAGTCTTTCGTCTATGGTTATTATTAATATGATTAATGTTATCGTTAATATTTTCTGAATTTTGTGTAAGTTATTATTATGTCTACAATGGAGAGTTCATATTTGTCACGAGAACATAGAAGAGGTGTTTGGGGAAGAAGAAATTGAAGGAATTTTCGAGGAAACAATAGATTCGGAAACTGGAGCAAACAAAACCATAATCTCATTCACTTTTTTCTCTCTTGATTCAGTTTAGGAACTTGGATTTGCTTGTTTCGAAATCAACCAGTTTAGGAATTTTGATAATATGAAGGTTGGTTTCTGGGTTGTCTGAGTTCTTTGGAATTGTTGATTGCAAGGAAAATTTGATAATTTGAAGGTTTCTGAGTTAGTCTTAATATAGGCTACAATCTGGTGTGAATGAGACTACGTAAACCTTCACTAAAATTTAATATGGATCGCTTGATTTCACCCTACCGGTAGGGGAAAAAGCTCCCCCTACCATATACATGCCCAAAAAATATTATAGAAACAGGCCTAAATTGTAGGCTAAAACTTTGGGGCCTTAAGCAGCCGCTTAACCTGCCTTAGGGTTAAGCCGGCTCTGTTAACAGGCCTATGAGTATTTGGTTTAAACAGAAAACGGTAGAGTGACAAGGAGAAAGAGATTTTCATTGTGGTTACGCCCGAGCTTGCGGTTGTTGGCCATAAGAATGAGAAGAGCTTCAATTGTGTTTGTCATTTTTGTTTGAAGTTGAAGTTGGGTTTATAGATTATTGAAGTTTTTTGTTGTGGAATTTTGTTGATATTTGATTGATGTTTTTGGAATTTGTTTGATTGTTGAAAATTGCTATTGTGATTTTTGGTTGATATTGGTGAAAATTTCAATTTTGACTGGTTCGTGTGTTTAGCTATTTGTGATTTATTATTATTATTATTATTATTATTATTTTTTTTTTTTTTGGAAGATTGATAAAAATTTGATTAGCTTGATATTTGTTGTAAATTGGGTGGTGTGATTAGTTGGATATTGTTCAAAGTTTATATCTGTGAGATATGTGAAATTAGTTGGATATTTGTTGGAAATTGGTAGATTATGGCGTTGTAAAATGTTTGATTTTTATGATTTTTTAATACATCAGAGTTGCAAGCAATATGGCCAGCATTTGACTATGTAACTCTAGACTCTAATTTTATCTTCAAATAATGACTTATTTCTTACTGTAATTTTTGTCTTGATATTATGTCTTCATATTTGTGAGATATGTGACGTATAATGTCTTCCATTTTCTTTCATAGACAAAGAGCATCTAGTCAGCTTTCTGGAAAAGCTTAATTTGCTGTGAATGGGAGATATGGAGGATGTAAAGCCTAGAAAGATAGTGTTTGTCACTGTGGGAACAACTTGTTTTGATGCTCTTGTTAGAGCAATGGACACCCAAGTAGTCAAACAAGAGCTATTAAAAAGAGGATATACCCACCTTCTTATTCAAATGGGTCGCGGATCCTATGTTCCGACCAAGGTATATCTTCACTTTCGAGATTCTCTATATGTGTACAGGAGTGTCCGTGGCAATGTGATTAGTTGATTTTGCTTCAACAGATGTTTTTGTATCCACATGGTTGAAGATTGGATTTTTAGACCTGTTGCTTTAAACTTGAATGGAATAGTTTTCTCACTTTGAGCAAAGCAACAGCAATTCTGGATATGTAGTTTATATGGAGTGAGAAAGGTTGAAGGAAGAAGGATAATCTTAAAAATTTGTAGAAATAATCTAGCAACATTTCTTATTATTTTTCGAGGTCTTTAAATGACCATTGTTGTTGATATTCCTCTAATAAAGTTTGTTTTTTTATGTACTAAAAAAAAAAAAGTTATCTAGGATACGGCATTAAAAAAAACTGTTGTAAGAAGATCCTGGGATATTAGGAATATTTGAGTATTTGCAGACTCTATGGTGGCTATTTAGCTTCTTAGACGACATTCAGAACCAAAATTGCAGATAAAGGATTTCAATTACAGATTACTTGTCACGATGATCACATAGATTACATTCAATAAATAGTTAAATACCAGTTACTCATGATATCGCGAAAAGTTAAATACCCTTCTCAAAAAAAAAAAAAAAAAAAAAAAAAAACAAAAGAACAAAAAAGTTATATGTCCTACTGTAGATGGAGTTAAGACAATTATGAGAAGTTGGATATGGCTCGTTGTTGTTTGACTGGACTTTCACTTCTTATATGAAATTTTTCATGTAAAGTATTTCCAAAGCAATTTTGCTGCATAACTGGATGCAAATTTTGGCATATCTGCAGGTGCTTCAACATTTTTGTTTTAATTTAAGAGATATCTCTTCCATTGACTGATTGAATTAATGGTTTTATATCCTTTTCTGAATGGAGTCCGAAGGAGGCAACGGGTCCCTAGCTGTAGACTACTTCACTTTTTCATCAAGCATTGCAGACCATTTGAAATCAGCTTCTCTTGTAATCAGTCATGCAGGTATGGATTTCATTGTATTGGATTCCCTCTCTTTTAACAACTTATTGCTTTATGCCTTACAGACATTTGCATTGGTACTTTATAAACGATCAGGGTAACTTTGTAAATTACTAGCTGAGATTTGTATCTATAGTTACAAAAATCAACAATCATCTAGTCATATTATATTTTTGATATTTCATATTCCCTTTCTGGAATTCTTTAAACCTATTTTGTTGGGATGTTGTACAGGTTGTGGTTGTTAGAAGAGTTAAAATGTAGCTTTCCAGCTATGCACCAATTTTTTTGTTTTGTTTTGTTTTGTTTTTGTTTTTTTTTTTTGTTTTGTTTTGTTTTTTTGTTTTTGTTTTTTTCTCTTTCTGTTACAATGAGTACATCACATTTTATTAAATGAAAAAAAATATTAATTACTGTGTGGAACAAAGATAAAAAGCATTCTGTTTGCGCGGTTGTGACGTTTTTCTTGTCTCAACTTATTGGCTAGTAAATACAAACAAACAGACGAGTGAATTTTTCTATAAGCCCATATCTTTTAAGGCAACGAGAAGCGAGATACGATGTAGTTATTTTCATGTGCTCCTGTTCAAAAGCTTTGACTGATCAGTCACATTTGCATGATCTGTCCACATCATTTCATTTTCAGTTTGTCTATTATTACTAGCAGTTAAGATAGGAGTGATTGCTGAAATAAATCACCACAATGATTGCTCCCTTTCTTACCTTCATGTAAATCTATCTTTCTTGCCTTTTCTTTTGCCCCAAAAGCTTGAATAATCTGATAATTTAATGTGTTACAGTTCATGGTTCAAAGTTTGGTTTCTGTTTTAAATTCTTGAAGAGGTCCTTCGCATTCTTTTTTTTTTTTTATCAAATCTGTGTAGAAAAATTAGTTATGTTTCAATTAGTTATTTTTCAGTTGTCAGTGCAGCGGAAATTTTCTTCGAGTTGCTGAAAAGTTATATCAAACTTCTTAAAAAAAGTGTAGTAGCAACAATAACAACAAAGAAAAGGGAGATTTTGGTTGTTCAATGCCACTTCCATGTCTTCCGAGGAGCGATTAGTTATCTTAATTCTGGTGAGTCATGTAAATGTTCTTACCCTGGTGCAGGGTCAGGAAGCATATTTGAGACATTGCGGCTCAGGAAACCGTTAATTGTGGTTGTGAACGAAGATTTAATGGACAATCATCAAAGCGAACTCGCGGAAGAGCTAGCAGAGAGGAAGCATTTATACTGCGCTCGCCCTCAAACGGTTAATCAGATAATTGCAGATATGAATTTGGATTCACTTGTTCCGTACCATCCAGGCGATGCCACACCAGTTGCAAAGCTTATTAACAGGTTTCTTGGCTTCCCAGATGATTGAAAGAATCCCATTATTTCATTGCTTAAGTTGACTCAGAATTAAACAAGTTTGAAACATCAATTAATATATAGTCTTAAATTGAGTTGGCAAAAGGATTGTTATGGCCTCTCAGGTTGTGTACTAATACCATCTATTGAACACATCTTATTTTTTTAATACCCAGAAATCCCTCGAGCTCACTTTATGAGCCCTAGGTTGAAACTAGAGTCCTCGGCCAAATCTACAATCTTTAGAAGGCAGGAAACTATTACATTTGTCATGTACATGAGGTGATTCGAATCCCTGACCTTGTGAGAGCAGACCAAAGCCCTGATCATTCCAACTAACACTCCGTGGGTTATTAAACACATCTTATAAGTTTTGCAAATTTCGTTTTAAACCAGTTAAAATTATTGTTTTGGTGATGTTTTTTCCTCGTACTATGCCAAGGTTTGTCCATTTGAAAAAGAGTATTCGGCATTTACGAGGGACATAAATAAGGAAGAGACTATTTACTCCTAACATTTATGAGATAGTTACCTACCTTGCTTTCAACTTTGAACTTGTTTTTTGGCCCCCCACATGAGTTTCTTTTTCACCCAGATCCCAGCTAAATTTGTACGATATTGAAGCATCCACATGATTTCTGCAATTTACAGATGAGCGTTTTTTGTTTAGCTGAGCTTGAAAGAGACTGGCATATACAAGGGACAGTTTCCAACCCATGCAGAAAGTGACTTTCCACTGCTTAGCCGGGTCAGGTCCAATTAGGGGTCCTTTTCAATCTTTATTGAAGAGGAAAGAGGTAAAAATAAAAGAATTATAGAAGAGACAGAAGAGAAGAAAAAAGGAAGTAAGGAAAAAAAAAAAAGAAAGAAAAAACACAAATGAAATGGTACTTTACTACCCCCAAAAGTGAGGGAAAGAAGAGAGAAAAAGAGAGGAAACTCTTTGGCTTTACTAAAATGTGGTCCCAAAAATGGGAGGAAAAGAGAGGGTATGATTACAAAAATGTGGTCCCAAAAAGGGGGGGGAAAGAGAGGGTATGATCCAGCCATAACATGGCTATATAGTTCCTCACCTTCATATTAATTAATTTGCCATAAACATATATACATATTGGTAACACTAAAATATATCCTCCTATTTTTCTTTCTTTCTTTCTTTCTTCTCTTTTTTTTTTAACGTATGTGTATCTCACATATAAACCATTAAATGATGAAAAGAAACAATTTGAGCCGTTGAAAAGAAAATGTCAACAACCACGCATAGAAGCAAAATGATTCAGATCATTTTCTAATACATATATAAAGACACAAACATAGGAAGATAATTTTTGGCAAAAGAAATAATACAAGAAAAAAGACTACAGAGGACAAAGTGGTAAAGTTTTAATGCAAACTTATTTCTTTCTAATTTTCGTTTTTTGTTGGCATTCTTTCTTTTTAATTAAGTTTGAAGATCCTGAGTCACTGTCAAAGAACCACAACCATATATTGCCAAAATAAGCAAGTGGGTACATTATCAAGAATCCACTTACCTATTTTGCCGGTTGAATGATGCCCCCAAGTAGTATAATGATTCATTATCTCATCAATTAACCTGAGAATCTCTTTCCGAAATAGAGGCGGATTTTGACACTCATTCTCCTACAAATCCCAAGATAAATCTCCCTTCTGTTACATAATGTCTCCAAAGAATCCTACAGAAATACAATGCTTCCAGTGCCTAGTGATTATCATCCAAGTAAAATTAATATCCAAGCTAAGATTTAAAAAAAAAAAAAGAAAATATTTATTTGAACTAAAAACAATTAGTATTGCCCAAATGATCCGAGGAGTGCTCCCCATTTTTCTGTATCGTTCCATGTCCTTCTACTATTTATTTGTCATTTCATTTAAATTTAACAATTAGACTACATGAATAGGAATCAAATACTAAAATAATTAAACGATTCATGAGGTTTCAAAATTTAATTTTAAGTACACCTAACCTAACTAGACAAAAAAATAAAGTAGATTTTGATTCAAGATCAGAGTCCTATTTTAGATTACTTGTTTTTAGTTATGTTGACTTTAATCAACATAGATGCTCTTACTATTGCATATTTTATGAGTTTTTTTTTGGGTAAGGTATGAAAAGATGTTAAATACCCTATCAATATCACTATATTTTTAACCATCAAATTTGTTAAAGTTCTGTCAATTTGTATGTTTTTTCATTTTAACGTAATTTTTAACCAAATCTAACATTTTGAAATGTGCATTACCCTAGCGTAAAAAGCTCCTCTTTTGTATGGCTATTTATTTTTGTCTCACTTCTAATGACTTTAGGCTTGAAACTTTCTAACCTAGGAGCCCATTTTTCAACAATAATATTATTAGGTATATTACCTTTTCGCAATATGCTACATTATTTGTGGTGACATTGCTGGCACAGTTGCCAACTCTAACTTAGAGGGTGATAAAAAGTCATTATCCACATGTCCACAAAGCCCTATAAGGATTGATATATCACGGATCTTTTGCAGGATGTGGATTGTATATAATGAGTAGATGATTATGATCTCGGATGTGAAATGGACAAAAAGCTTGCAAAAAGATTTCTGATACTGAGACAGACAATACCTTACAAACTACAATGCAAGGGACGAGTGAAGTATACAAAACCTCTTTGCTTAATAAAGAGAAGTGAGAGAGAGAGAGAGAGAGAGAGAGAGAGAGAGAGAGAGAGAGAGAGAGAGAGAGAGAGAAGAGGAGGAGAGAGGAGGAGAGAGAGAGAGAGAGAGAGAGAGAAGTGAATCATGTGAAGAAACATTGACCAATTTTAAAGCGAAGGAAAGAGTGGAAAGCCAATCCAACCCCATTTATACACACTTCATCTGTTTGCACCTAGACATTTTCCAAGTCCATCTCTCTCTCTTTCTCTCTCTCTCTCTCACACACAACCCTTTCCATTTCATTTCTGTTGCATCGCTCTTTGTGCTCATGGAAGTTAACACCACAGGGCCACTTGTTGGTCTTTTAGCAGGAAACCATACCAACAAACAACACGACTCTTCACATTTTCAAGGCCATGACCACCACCACCACCGTCACCACCACAAAATTTTCCCTTCAAAATCCTTTCTCTTAATCACCATATCCATCATTTCATTTGTGCTCCTTCTTGCCATATTTCTCATCTTATTAATGCTCAGACGACTCAAGTCCTCCAAAAACAATGGTCTTTACAAAGAGAGTACTGGCATCCATAATGGCAGTAGTAGATTCGTTGCTCAAACTGCTATAAATTTCAATTCTAGCCCAGGTACGTTCCCCACTATTTTATGTCATTCCCATATTTCCCATGCATTTTCAGTCCTAGAATAAAGATCCCATTATTTGAGAAATTATATTGAAAGTATGTTTTCATTCACTCAGTTCTTTAAATGGTGTCAATTTAGTTACGATATTCTAAACAATTTTTATTCTAATTATTTCTCTCAACTTTGACTTAAAAACATGAACTTTTAGAGAAATAGAAAGTTTAAATTGCTAACAAAGTCTTTAAATGTTGTGTGGGACTGAATTATCTGATCTGGGTATTCTTGGAAAACGTGTCAAAATTAATAGAGTTGAAGGGTGGATGTCTCCATGGAGGGCATTTTGGGAGGTCACAACTACATTATCATCAACATGGATACAAAGGAGTGCAAGTATTCACATACAAGGAACTTGAAGTGGCCACAAGTGGATTTAGTGAAGGGAATGTGATTGGTAGAGGAGGCTTTGGAGTGGTGTATAGAGGTGTCCTACGTGATGGAACTGTGGCTGCAATTAAGATGCTCCATAGGGTGGGGAAGCAAGGAGAGCGTGCTTTCAGGGTTGAGGTGAATGACTTCATTTGTTACTTTTTTTTTTTCCCTTCCTTTGCCCTTTTTCCTATTTGCTCATGCCTCTTGCCTATTTTGTCTTTATTAGATAAAATATAAGTCGTTGCATTAAGGAGGGAGAGGGAGAGAGAGAGAGAAGGTGGGGGGAAGAAAGTCAATAAATCAATTGCCTTAAAAAAGTGTCATTAGAAGGTCAACTCAAATAAAGGTAAGACTAGAACATGCTATCTAGGTAACAAAAATAGCTCATCAAGCCTAGTATGTTAACAACTCTTGAGATTTGACTCTCTCTCACTCACTCACTCTCTCTCTCTCTCTCTCTCTCTCAGGCACATTTTGTGTTTTATTGAGCCATGAATTCCGGAAATACAAATCATTTCTCATTTTTCTAGTTAATTCTTGTATTATATTTCAATAATCTGCACATGGAAGTGGAAAAAGAATTGTTACTTTAGCTTATTTTTCAAAAGAAAGGAGCGTAATGACTATCATGGCAGGTGGACTTGCTTAGCAGATTGCATTCTCCTTATTTAGTGGAGCTGCTTGGCTATTGTGCTGACCAACATCACAGGCTCCTTATCTTTGAATTCATGCCCAATGGCAGTCTCCAACACCACCTTAACAATGGACATCAGCCGTTGGATTGGGGGACCCGGTCGAGGATAGCCCTTGATTGTGCCAGGGCTCTTGAGTCCATTCATGAGCATGGCATCTCACCAGTTATCCACCGCGACTTCAAGTGCGCCAATGTTCTCTTGGATCAAAATTTCCGGGCCAAAGTATCGGATTTCGGATTGGCCAAAATGGGTTCGGACAAGATCAACGGTCAGATTTCAACGCGCGTGCTGGGGACCACGGGATATCTGGCACCAGAGTGAGAGCCTATGTCCCTTTCATTATCATTACAATATCAAACAATGCAATGCACATGGGCCTAAGTTGCCATCATCCAATTTATCATTTTCCTTCTTCAAGGGCTAGATGGGGGAAGAGTAGGGTGTGTTTATTTAACTTGAGTTGGGTATCTGAGAAAAATACTGTAGTTAAAAAGTTGAATTTAAATTCATGTGAGAGCAAACACTGTAGCCATATAACTTGAGTCATGATCATGATTTGAGTTGTGCAAATGAACACATCCTATTTTTTTTTTTTTTTTTTAATAAAAAAAACCAAATTCATGAACACCATTTACATTGGTCAACACAATAATGAAAGAATTTACGTATACTTATAGAACAATAAACAAAAAACTATAGACTATAACTTACCTAAACTTGATCAAGGTATGACCTTCTCTTTTGTAAAAATTTTTGTTGGCAATGTAGGTATGCTTCAACTGGAAAGCTTACAACAAAATCTGATGTATACAGCTATGGTGTTGTTCTTTTGGAGCTGTTAACAGGTCGCGTACCGGTAGATACCAAGCGACCCCCTGGAGAACATGTCCTTGTTTCATGGGTTAGTACACAGAATCTTGTCATTTTTCTTCTTAAGTTTCAACTTTTCATGGCATGTATTTAAAGGTGGAAAAAGAATTAAGAAGCCACATGAAGAAGCTAACCAAGATCGAAATGGAATTTAAATTTTTTTTTTATTTTTTTTATTTTTTGGATGAGAACTTTCAAGGAGTGCTTGTTTTTATTATTTAACTGATGTCATTTTAATCCTTCCCCCCCACCCCCCTTTTTCTCACGTTTCTAATTCTAATGGTTTATCAGGCCCTTCCAAGGTTAACAAGCAGAGAAAAGGTTGTGGAGATGGTTGATCCAGCTTTAAAAGGCCATTACTCAAAGAAGGATCTAATTCAGGTAAACTCAGCTTCCATTCATCAGAATTACAACCAACATTAGCGAACAAATTTCTGATGCTAAGACTTTGCAACTAACTTTATTTTCTTGTCACTGCTGCATTGGCTTTATAGATAGCCGCTATTGCCGCCATGTGTGTGCAGCCAGAAGCAGATTATCGGCCTCTAATGACTGATGTTGTGCAGTCACTGATCCCACTCGCTAAGAACTCATCTGTCAGTATCTCTAGCTCCACAAGATTTACCAACCAAAGAGTGAGTCCCAGGTATCAGGTTACTCCATGAAAACTGGGACGGAACGATCAATTCAGATCTCCGATCACCCTTTCGCAACTTATTTGTAGCTTCCGAGAAGGTTTATGCGGTTCACAAAAAAGGTTGGTGGTTTCTTGGCCTGATTTATCAGCAGCTTCTGAAAGATCCTTGATGCATAAGAAAACTGCAACACCAGAAACAACAATGGACTTTGGTTTCAGAGCCTTAACAAGACGTTCTACGATTGGGGGGAGGCCAAGTTCATGGAAGTTTTGAGCAGAGGGTTACAGGATGTTGAATAGCCTAATTTTCTGTAGACAAATTTCACGTGCTGTTATGTATAGATCAATGTATTAAAAAGGCACTGCCACTTTCCATTGACAGAATGTTAGGACGATCATGCTTAAGAATTTGGCTCCCTGTTGTATAAACCTGCCATTTCATTAGAATGCTGCAAAAAGAAGATCGACAAGTTGGTGTTAGAGAGAGCAAAATGAATTTCAAGCCAATTATCTTCGTTTGTTCTTTTGCTCAATGCCACATGTTTTATTGATCATTAATAATAACAATAGCTCACACATCTTAAAACAAAGTCCAAAGTCCAAACCTTAAAATAGCTAGAGGTATTAGCCATGTACAACCAGTGACCTTTTAGCATGAACTACTCTATTAAATACTCCCAAGGCATCCTTATAATTTCAGATACTTCAGCAGCAACCTAACGATCCGAAATCTTGGAAATCCAAAACCAGTTAGCGTTCTTTAAGGATGTGATTCGTGTGCTAGTTGAAAAATCCCACATCAATAAGATAATTTGCGAATAACCTATTAGTAGACAACCATAGCTTGGAATCTTTAGATCAAAGAAGGTTCAGAGGGAAGAGACAAAAGTTAGTAGTGGTATAATTTAGCCATTAGACAGGACCGTCCTTAAAGAAGAAACTTGCATTGAGCATATGGTCAAAGACGTCTACATATATTTCACCAAACTATTTCAAAGAAAAACATCTCTAAGATGCGTGTGATGATCTAACGGGACAAAAAGTACAATCACTATTTTTCTGATACACTAATAAATGTGAGCCTGTACATTCTCTTCCAGATGGAATGAAGCAGGACAATTTTCATCTCACTGAATCCTTCTACTTGAGGATATGTTTGAGACTCGGCCAAAGAAATAAATATCACCTTAAAGTCTTGAACTGTTACAAATTTTTGTTTTCAGCTTCCTGTTCCGTAGCAGCACTTGTTTCTCCTCTCCCCTCCCCTTGAGATTTATTGTTCTTTTTACGAACTTTATCTGCATATTTGGAAAAGGCAGCAGATAGCGCCGATTTAACGGTCAATTGCGGTTCTTTTTTCCTGCGTTTACTTTCCTTTTCTCTGTCTTTTTCTTCTTTTGCTTCTTTATCTTCATTCGCTGAACCAACTTCAGCATTATTCTGAGTGGAGGTTTCTGGAACAGCAGGATAGCTGGGAACTACACGCTTGAATGGTTCGTGAAAACTATCATACAAGCGCTTTACCTGATAAATTATAGGTTCACATACTTGGAAGCATTATTTTTCATTCATGGTACCCTAATAAAGAAAAGAAGATCTATCAAAGAGGTGAAATCCGACCCCACACTTCAGTTCAGGCCCCATAAAAGATAAGACAAGACCTTAATTATGGAAAAATACCTTGCGCTCTCCTATGCCAGGGCAACGTGCAAGGTCTTCCATTGATGCATCCATGATATGAGAAAGAGACTGCAACAACCAGACAACCATCTTCAAATGAATACTCATCAAAAGTCAAGATGATGGAAAATTAGAAATTCTCGGTGCAAGACAGCAGGCCTACCCCAAATGCATTACCAAGTGTAACTACATCAGTCTTGTTTACATGCCGAACTGTTGTGAGAGCATGTGTTAGCTACAACAAAGATTGAGACAAATTCTGTTCAGTCGATCCATTACACAACAACCTTAAAATATGTCTAGCACAAATACACTATGTTTAAATGAATCCTAGATATTTCAACTGCTAAGTCAAAATATTCACCAAACGTTTACAAGCATAAACTGATCTGAAAACTCCACTCAGAAAAATGTCAAATGTGTTAGCCAAATGCTTAGAAGCATAAACTGATCTGAAAAACGAAAAGAAAAACAATATGTTACCCGTGACAGATAATCGGTATCCATTTGACCTTGAATGATATCAGCAGGCTTGTTTTCATACACTTTAATAGTCTCCAAATAGCGACCACATTCCTCCAAGCTACAGCAAATAAAAAACGATCAATAGTTGGTCCAGCAAGTGAATGCAAGATACTTCAATACTTTACAACTGCATTTTGTCTCCATTCACTATTCTAACCCAAAAAAGAAGGGAATAATCATAGGCATTCCAAAATTAAACGTGTTTTGTGGATAATGCATTTGGACTTGACAGGAAATATATCAATACCTCCAACCACATAACAGGGTACAATCATGAAGCAGGGCTGTCTTAGTAACTTCAAGTAAAGGCTTAACAACATCCTCCTGCAACCAAAGAAAAATTAGTGAGCAATATATAAAAAATAAAAAATAAACACTACATTGATAGTATTACGGAAAATCTAGGCTAAACCTAAATTAATTACTGAAAATGAAAAATAATGAACGAAAATAAAAGCAGAAACCAACATCAAGAATTTTATACAGGTTCACCAATTTGGCTACATCATGTTTCTGCTGCCGCAGATTTCACTATATTGTTGAAGAAAATCGAATATAGAGAATCACTTAGGAGTTGTTTGGTACATATACTCAAAACTCAAATCATGACTCTACTACAATGTTTTCCTCTCACAAAGAATTTGAATATAAAAAATTCCCGCCAATAGTTCTCTCACAAGGAATTTGAATCAAAACCCAAATCATGGTTCAAATACGCTTCCCAAACGGGCCCTCAATCAGTCACTTGTATTTCTCATACACTCAACAGCGCCCACCCCTTGGCACTCCGACGCCCAATGGAGCAAAATCCGTAGCACCGCAGCGCCAGCCAGCACCCCAGCAGTGGCCCTCAATCACTCACTTGTATTTCTCATACACTCAACAGCGCCCATCCCTTGGCACTGCGACGCCCAACAGAGCGAAATCTGTAGCACGCACAACACCTGGCGCTGCAGTGCCAGGACCCTGGCGCTGCTGTTTCTGCCACGAATGGCCTGCGCCCATAGCCTAGCGTTGCAGCGCCCAACAACCTTCTTTTTTTTTTTTTTTTTCTCCTCTTGGCTTATTAGGCTCCACACTCATAACAGATAAGGCTTTTTTGAAAAAAAAAAAAAAGGAATACCACTGAACTTTGAAGCAGGCAAGGTTGGCTTAATTGCTTACCACATCAACATGGCAAAGAACAACACTAAGCTTGAAGTTCTTCTGCAATTCCCTTATACGGTAATACAAGTAGTCTGGATGCAGCAGATGATACCGAAGACTGCAACAAATGGTCAAATGCATAGATAAGAACTAGTTTTACTTTCAACATGTATCAAACAAGAGCATGTTGGAATAATAATCTTTGTCGCAAATCAACAATGGCTACAAAGTACAAGCAAAAGCATGTTCCATAAGTTTCTTACACAAATTTGGAATGTGCATGCACGTACAAAAAGCCATGCGACAGTAACCTAATAATTCTAACCTTAGATAGAGAGCACATGAGCCTTGCCCAAGCAAGTAGTCACAAACAACATCTGCAAATGCCCATCTCACATTCCTGATATGTTTGAGCAATGGGTTCCCTTTCTGCATAAAGAACTGCATATATTCATTCCTACTTCTGGCAAAATCATTAAGCACCCATTTGTTGCACGGGTTTGAACCACAATTCTCAATTTGAACTCGAAACCTAACCCAAATTCCCCCTTTTCAAAATCCAAACCACTCATTTGTTTCTCTCCCAAACACCAATCTATATTAGATTCCCAGTTCAAATTGAGAATTTCGATGACTTGTTTGGCATGCACTTATGATCAGTAAACAGTAACTATGTCAATAAAGTTAAAGCTCTAACATACGATAAAAAAACAATTTATGCTACAATATGCCCTGTGGGAAAATAATGCAAAAAGAAAAAAAGATTGAGGGGAAAAAACCTGTCTATGGCTGACAAGAATTGCATTACGATTCTGAGTAGATGAAGACGATGACGACCAAGAAGAAGAAAGACCACTAGTAGACGCAGATGATGAAGAAGATGGAACATTGGACTGACGTTCCCTACAAGGCAAGAAATCGCCGCAAAAAAAAAAACGTCAATTTAACGCAAAAATCATCGTTTAGCTTAAAAAATGTCCAGTATTTCCACATTTCCTTGGCCATTGAACAACGCATATAAAACAAATTTCTCAAACAGGAATTAAATATCAGACTTTTAGGACATGAAAGATCAACAGAAGCTTCAAGCTTAAAAAATGTCGTCCATTTCCTCCAACAAAATCTACCGAAAAAAAAAACGCCGAATATGAAAACGAAAATCGTACCGAGAAGCAGTGATCTCCGAAGCGGCAGCGGAGGTTGAAGAAGGCGGAGGAGGAGAGTAGAATTCGGAGGATTTGACGAAAGCGAAAGCTTGAGAAAAGGTCTGAGAGGGAGCGAAGAGAGAGGGTGGCGTTGATTTCCACTGTGAGGTCTTGAGAACTTCTTGGTACGACGGGATTTTGATCACCACCTTGTTCGTGTTCGTGTTCGTGTTCGTGTTCGTGTTTTTCCCTCTGTCATCGTAGCCGTCTTCCTCCATAGCTCACAATGAATAATATTTCTCTTTCGTTGCCTTCTGTTACAGAGACGAACCCCGGAGGGGAGCTTCTGAAAAACTGTGCTCACACGTTGGGCTGGTACTTGCTGGAGGCCCAGATACATGCCCACAGTTAGAGGGCCTAAAGTACATTTGGTAAGGAAGGGGAAAAGAGGAGAAAAATTACATATTCTATCTAATTTATTAAGGCATCGTTCACTTCGTGGATTTTAATTTTCAATTCAAGTTGAGATGTGACATTTTTTAAGAGCTTTTCACTGTAACAGAAAAAGTTAGATGTGACATTTTATGAGAACTTTTTACTGTAGAAACCTAAAACTGAAAACTCGAATCGGTGAAATGAACGAGGCCTAAAAGTACTCGTAACAACTTGGAGAATTAAATACGTTTAATTATATTAATTGTGATTTATTAATGTATTTAATACTAATTCTTTTAATTAATTATGTCATTAAAAATTTTAATTACTTTCAAATTTGAAAATACACTTACTTTTTATTTTTCCTCTGTTTTCTCACCGGCAGTCTCCCTCTCCCTCTCCTTTCTCCGGCGTCCTCTTCCCCCGGCGCGCTCTCTCTCTCTCTCTCTCTCTCTCTCTCTCTTTCCCGGCCGTTTCTCTCTCCCCCTCACTCACTCTCTCTCTTCGGCTGTTGCTGGCCGAAGCAATAAGAAGAAAAAAAAAACAAAAACAAAACTGAGAGAAAGACTCTTCAACCAGTTTGAGATAAAATTTCTTGAGAAACCCACTATTGTATTTGAATTCTTAATTTAAAGAAGTATGATTTTGGTTAAGATTTGATGAATTTTTATTTAGGTTTAGATTTGGACAAATTGTGGTAAAATTTAGGTTGAATTTGAGGATTTTCAGTTCTTGAGTATATTGAAGTGTTTGGAAACTGGTTTCAGTGATTTCCCATGAATTTATCTTGAAATCAACTTGAAAATGCGAGTTTTGGTATTGTTCTCTGGCTGCACCTTACTACACTTTACTACAGCAAAGTTGTAGCAAAACTGAAAAAAAAAGAAGAAAAGAGAGAAAAACTTTAACTTGGATTGTGAAGTTGTTTATAAACTTTAGTTTTGAGTCAAGGCACACTAATGGGAAGCAATTGTACGCAATTGAACTAGATATATTTTAGAGGTGAGATCTCAATTCTAAAACATTATTTTGATGATAAAGATAGCGGCACGATTGGACGTGGCACTTCAAGAATAGACGGTTGGACAACGTGAAGTTATCCGTAGAGTAAATTGCCAAGAGGTAGGATGTTCTTGTACACACCCTTGTTAGCCTGTTTTAAATATATTTGGCCTATGAAAACGTTTTAAAGATAAAAACGTATTTGAAATAATTGAAACCTAAAGAAGAGTTTTATATGATATTTTCTTAAAATGAGATATTTTAAAAAACGGTAACAAGCTGATGGCATGAGAGATCGAGGTATGGAGATCGTATCCTTGGGGCAGGTCTAGAAACCCATACGGGCCACTACGGTGGTGATATCATGGCCTTGCGATAAGGTAAGTGACTCAACATGAACCACTTACCGTAATACGGACTTTTGTGACTTACTTTTATTTCCTTTTATTAAAAAGGATGTTCGGTTTCGAATGACATGTTCGGACCTTATACTTCCATTTATTGATTCAGTTTTATAAAATCATATCCTACTGGGCATTTAGCTCACTTTTTCTATGTTTTATGTATTTAAACCCCTCCTAGGCAACGCTAGAAGTAGTGCTGAGTAGACGGTGATAATCGGTGGAAATCCACTCAAGAATACAAGAAGCTGTGAACTGTTTTATGTATTTTCTCTTATTTTAAGGCATGTATAAATTATGGATTATAACCTTAAATTCTACTAGACTGTGGTTGATGTCAGCTTTCTACTTTTCTGTATTGTTTATGCATGCACGACGTGGAAACCTTGTGGAAGCCAGAGGTTGAATTTTGAAATTGATTTGACCGTGATTGTGGTTTTGTAAAGTCCGCCTCACTTTTTCTAAAACTCAATTTCCTTAAAATAGCGGGATTTGTTTGGAAATTTCTAAATGTTGATCCTTGAAAATGATTTTAACATTATTATATGTTTAACACTTTCTTAATCTATATTTTTATTCTTAAACAAGCCTCCACGTCACTAACCCCTGTTTAGGAGCGTGACAAGTCTTGGTATAAGAGCCCTTGGTTTTTAAGAACCTTGGGATTGTGCATTGTTGCGTGATTTTTATACTCACAAGTGCATGTATCACAGACAAGTAATAAAGTGTACAGAGTACGGATATCGTCCCACAGAAAATGAAATACCAAGTGTACATGCAAAATTCAACTAATTTACCAGTTTTAAAATGATAATAACTAATGTTCAGAAATTACCCAATTGTTTTAAATGCATACATGTAAAATGAAAAGCAAAGATTAACCAGTAGCTCAAGAATGCTAAAATGAAGTGTATGCAGTGCAGTAAATCAACTGGACCTACTAATTTCCCCTTAGTTGCAAGTCTAATAGAAAATGTTGCAAGAATGCTATAACATAAATGTCCTGTTAGCAGAAACTCATTTATTGTGCATAAGATTCTCCTGAAGTCATTATATCTAAAGATTTCTCAACTATTTCCATCATATTCCTATGTGAATCTAGTTTCAGAATGCAAATTAAACTCGGATTTCTATATGTTATGCAAGATGAACAATATATTCATATACTATTCACAAATCAATAAACTCAACTAGAATATTGAACTTGCATCATCTATCTTAGATCCAACTAAAATTAACCTTTCTAGTATTAATCTTAATATTGTATTCTGTGATTGATGGCTAGTCAAAGACAAAAATAAGCATTAAGCACATATAGATGAACATGAAATAGAATTAATTAACATTCCTTAAGCAACCATCATCCTTACAACCTTCGTTCCATTAGCAGATCCAGCTTAACAAATTAGTTCATAATGGTGATTACAAGAACCAGATTTCTAGAGTAATCTATGTCTTAATTAATATAAAAAATAATAAAAGAATCAAGCTAATAGAAAGAAGAAGAATTGAGGAGCTAGATCTTGGATCTTTTAGAATTTCTCCTTGTCATTCTCTTCAGTTCCTCATCTCAGCAGCTCTCCTCCTTGATTTTTTTCTTCTTTCTCTCACGTCTTTGGTACTTGCTTTCTCTCGGTACTATATTGCCCTTTATTTCCTTCTATTTTTCTCCTCTTGTCTTTGGCGGCTGCTTGCCTCTCTCCCAAAAACAATCCCTTCTACGGCAACAAAAAGGCCGAGGTGTCATTTGATAAGAGCTACAGTGGTCCACACTGCTGTACAGCTCAATCAGCTCACATGGATTTTTGTCCTTTTCCTCCAGGTAGTGTGCTGATGTCATCCCACTTGCCAGCTGCACCTAAAATGCTGCGGCAGAATGCTATTACTTTCACCCCAAAAAAAACCCCTAAAAAAAACTCCAAAAAAAAACACCCCAAAAAAACTCCCGAAAAAAACCCCTAAAAGAAACCCCCCAAAAAAAACCCACAAAAAAACCCACAAAAAAACTCCCAAAAAAAAACCCCAAAAAAAATCCAAACAAAAGCCCAAAAAAAAACACCCCCAAAAAAAACC